TGACATAAATTCATAAAATAGTAGTTCAATAAAAGTTTGAATGCAAGTCAACAAACGAGATGACATGGCCTCTCACCTGTGACCCGTCTCGAAAGGGTTAATCTGCAAGTATCACCACCACGACAAACAACTTGGTGGAGGGCCACAATCAGGAGGAAAATTGAATGAGGGAACAGAGGTACCTGTAATACATGTGTGAGGACTTATCTTGATTGGTTCAGCTCTGAATCCAAAACCCAGTCACTGGGAATTGACATCCATGTGGAGGTAGGATGAGGGATCCCAATCGAATGGGCGAACTATAAAGCTACAACATTCCCTTGGATAAACCTGTACATAGAGCATCAGACTGCAAGACATCTTGTCAACTACACCAGCAGAACACAACCACCCTTCTCTCAACTGAATGATTTGATCAATATTTGTATCGTATATCATTATCACATTCAGGAGTTTGGAACTGGAAAGTGGTAAGGACTTCCATACTCAACTGGAAGAAAAAGGAGGGAGAAAACGTAGTGGAGAGTCCGTACAAATGTCAACACTGGAGACAATGCATGGGTGACCACGAAAACCCTAGTTTGAAAAGCAGATCATACCTGACTTATTCAATCAAAGGAATGGCATGTATGGGCAGTTATCCCCTTCTACTATATTCATGAAGTCAATGGGTGAGTACAGTCCAGAACAAGAATATAAATGAAGCAAATCAATACCACGAGAAAACACCTACAATCGATCTTATGGAACACACCATCCCAACAGTGAGCATTAAGTGGCATTAAGTGATCCCTAATCAATTTGTAAGAAGAGGAAAAGTAAGTCGAACAGGTGAAAAACCCCGACCCAATGAACAATAGCAAAAAACATTCCACTTGCGTTGATAAACATCCAATGAGGAAGGGTAAATGGAATGAGCTAAAAATGAAGGAACTTGCTAGGACAATCTGGATCTCTTGACCAAGAACCAGATATGAAGACAGAGGATATGAAGGACTGGATGAAATTCCAGTAACCAAGATTAATGTAGAAGGGATGGAGGAAGAGGTAATGGTGGGGCAGATTGGAGCTGGAGCAGTAGTTGTGCCAGCCAGTAAGGAACAATCAGAAGGACCTGACACAGAGTGGTATGGATGATCAAAATCACCATGGGAAGAGAACAGGTGGGAGGATATACATACAGGTATTTGTTGGTCCAATCTTGACTGAATGCATCGACGGCCAATGTAAGTGGATGAGGTACATGAGATCAAAACAGAGGTAATTTGGTATTGAGGGGTGTGGCAAACACATCCAGGTGAGGAGTACCCCACTGAGGGCATAGCCACTGGAAAACGAGAGGATCAAGAGACCACTCCGTCGAATAAACTTTGTTGAAATGGGAAAGACGATCTGCAAGAACAGTGAATGCACCCGGAACATAGTATGCAAAGAGACGAATATCAAGTGTGTGAGGCCAAAAAAGGAAATTCAAAGTTTGGTTACAAAGGGAAGGAGAACAGGTGCCACTTTGGTGAGTGATATAAACCACCACCGTAGATTTGTCAGAATGGATCATAACCAGAAGATTCCTGGCAAGATGAAGACAATGATTCAAAGTACAATGTATGGCCAGAAGCTCAAGGATGTTGATATGGTAAGATTGCTCGACTGGAGACCACAGACCTGAAGCTTCCTGCTGTTTGACCCAACCCCCTCAACCCTGGAGGGAAGTGTCTGTGATGATATGTAAATTTGGATGTGGGGGAGGAAGCAGAACACCTGCTGATGTGTGAGCCCTGTCCAACTACCAATGCAGATTGTTGAAAAGGGGAAGAAGAAGGGAAATAGGAGCCTCTAATGGATCCTACTCAAGGTTCAACTGGTCGTACAAGGCCCACTGAAGAAACAGCATATGCACCCAACCCAAGGAGGTAGGGGCTTCCATAGAATACCACACACCCAAAAGCAACAGAACCTCACGAGCATTAATAGAAAGAGCAGTAAGGGCACGGAGAACTGAAATCTACTTTGAATGGAGTTGAAGAGGAAAAAAGTTGGGCTCAATTGAGATGTTGAAAAAAAACCATTCAAGTGGACAAGATATTGGGTAGGTATAAGGAATTACTTTTCCAACTTGATTAACTCACCCACACGACTGCCACCAGGAGCAGCAAATGAGTGTGATGGGCAGATTCCTGTTCAGAACAAGCTAATAGAAGCCGGTCAGCCATGTAATGGTGTAAGCACAAACCCCGAGCATGCATGTCGGGCAAAAGCCTTGACTACTCGACAAAAGACATAAGAGGCTGAAGCAAGCCAGAAGGGAATGGCACAAAAGTGATAAACTACCCTGTGATGAACAAACTGATGATATCACCTCGAGAGACGAGATATTAGAATATGCAAATAAGTATTTGCAACATCTACCTTGCTCATAAATAAACCTGGAGAAAAAGCACACCTGAGGATGAGAAATAACTCTGTGGTAAATCGGGGGAGAACCAAAGAGTGATAGAAATGGAACTGACCAATCACATGCCACCAGTCCGAGTTTTAGTTACCACAAATAGTCTGGAATAAAAACCCGAAGAAGGATCAGGTACAGGTTCAATAGCTTTCTGGGAGAGAAGATTTTGTACAGCCTCTGACAGATGTTGACTGGTGGTTGGATCTCAAGGTAATGGAAATGATATGGGTACCAGAGAAAACAGAGGAGGGGAAAGGATGTGGATGACAAGTCCCTTGGATAATACCCAAATAACCCACTGACCTGTGGCAAAAACTCGCCATAGGGGAACAAAATTTGTCAATCGAGCCCCCACTGAACAAGATTCAAAAGTCTCAGGAAAAAAGGGCCATAAGTAAGTCCCAGAGACAAGAAGGTGGTAAAAAAACTTCAGACTATTTGGCAGTCCCTCTCCAGAAGATCCCAACAACAGCAAAACCACGTTTGTAAAGAAAGAGCCAAAGAAAACAAACATGCCAATATGGAGGTAATCAAGGAGAGGCTATCCCTCGAAAAACCCTAAGGATCGCGGTGGGGTAACTCGGAAAGGAGGTGGATGGTCAACAAGTACCACAGGAGAGTTGATAGGGTAAGACATGGGTGGGAAAACTGGGTATGAGACAAATAAACAGGATGATCAGGGTCCACCTCCACACAGACAGAAGTGATTCCAACTGTTGAGAATCAAGAAATGGAAATTCAACCTGATGCAATGCTAGAGCAAACTGATCTGAAGCCCATGGAGGGAGAGGCATGCTGAGAAACAAAATGCTATGCATAAAGCCTAATATCTGGGGAAGGGGGGGAACACAAAATACTGAGAGGAGGGGATATCAAGAAACAAAAAAGGAAGGGAATTATAAGAAATTGGGGAAATGGATAAAACAGAACACACCTAAGAAATCATGACTAAAAAAAGCTGTATTAGGCCTAGCAGATTCTGCATTAGGAGCATAGAAAGACATGGCAAAATCAGGTGGAGGAAAAAGGATGTCAAAATCCACATCAGCCCAAACAGCTCCAGCATGTTCAAGAGAAATATGGGCAACATTAGGAGAAGCAGGTTGACCCATATAATGATCAATCTCACAGCAGATGAGAGACAATAATTCAATAGCCAAGTTATCCCCACCTGGAGCCCGTGTAAACGTGCTGGTAAATGGTATTACCTCCAAAGTGGAAATTTGGACTTTGAAATTCATTGTTAACAATGAATGATCAGAGACAACAGTGTTAGAATAAGGAAACGAAACTGGGAAAAAATAAGTTATCTTTACGTTCGCAAAATAAAAAACATCTGAACACGACCACTGCCAAACGAGAAATGACAGTTTGATAGAATCGAATAGAGGGAGTCAAATGCAATGGAGGGTGTGTCGCACTCCAACTGGTGGAGAGTTGTCACATGAGATGCAGTTGAACATAGGGTATGTATGAGCTCAAGGCTTGTGGCAAGCAAAAAAATGTTTAAGATAAAGGGAAGTTATTTATGTGATGGGAAGTAATGGGAAGTAATTAGAATTATTATTAAGACAAATGTCTTCCATTCTTTAATATCTAGTTTTTTTAATTTGCTGATTCCAGGTATCACAGAAATGTAAAAATACAAAAACAGATGTAAAATTAATGCAACAAGAAGAAGAGTGTAACAACAGTTTGTGGAAACATTAATGCTATAAACAGGTTTAGAGAACAGTTTATTAAAGTTTGTGAATTTCATGATTTCAAACATTTCAACACAGATTCTGCTTCAGTTGCATGGAGTTCTTAAGACATCTTTACAGCTTTATAATAACTTTTAACAAAACTATAAAAGTTTTGAACAAAAATTACCTCAGTTTTTTCTGTTCCTTTATCACAGTTCTCTTCTTGTTCCTCTTTCACTACACCAAACTTCAAAATGGTATGTAAAGATCTTTGTTGTAAGGAATTAGCTTCTCCTGTTGGTAAAAGTATAAATAGTGTTTATTTGTGTATAACAACATTGAATGTAAATCATGCTTCACTGCATCATATTCAAATACCACAAAACGTATTTTGATGAATAGGTCTCATATATAATTTCCTTTGTGGTACACAGGTATGCTGAACTATAGAACTATCAATTATAAAAAAGTGCCAAAGTTGAGCAATAAAAGAGAAGTAAAAACTTTAAGAAAATGTTCTCATCTTGTACCTAGGGCAGATTGATCCATCAGGACACTGCAAAATCAGTGGGGCATTGCATTTCATACATTCTTAAAAGTTAGAATTTTCTTAAATCAAAAACGTATTTCCAATAATAATTACCTCCTGTAACACTACAGCTATTACTCTACTTCTTCCTTTGCCCATCTAAAAATTGGTATTATTTTTTTCTCGATTGGTCAAGTCTTTTATACCCCACTTAATTGCCCTTGGTGATATTTGTCTCGTGACACTCTCCCCCTATGCCAATGCTTCCTCTATCCAGGCTCAGAATGATGGGATCTTGTATGCTTCACTCAACCCGAGGAAACAGAACTCATCTGTTCTGGAATTATGAACACTCATCCAGACTCACAACAGTGTGGACTTGTAAATTTCACTTGTTTCTGGAATTACGGGGAGAACATGGAACAAACTATGGTCAACCAAGGACCCAGAATGTGACCACTATGCATTTGGACCACTTATAGAATCTTGAGGGTAATGCTCATTGAAGAGTCCTGTGGAACACTGCTCTGGAAACAGTGCAATAGGTGAACCAAGTTCCCTAAATTTTTAAAAGCAATCCAATGATTGGCAGGGACAAACAGAATTCCGTTATGCTTTACTTATGATAGTCCATGAGTTGCAGTCCAGCATAATGCAGTAACACCACCTGGTCAGCTTCTAGGTGGTGTTATGGAACACCTCATTTCTACAGAGGCTGTTACAACCTAGATAAAGTATATTGTATTAGTGGTTGCTAGTGTGGAATTGGTTTAATAAAAGCACAACTGCTTGGGCAACATTCCCCACAGAGTGGGATCCTATGAAAAAGAGGGAAGGGACCCTGAAAAGCACAATACAGACAAGTATGGAAATGAAAATACTCACACCTCTGTATCATCTAGCAGAAGTGGTTAAGATAGCTACAGGGGGTAGCTGAAAACCCTCAGATGAAGATGCTGTCAGATCACGTAAATAATGTGAGATAAAAGTACTGGGGAAGGTCTACATACAAGTCCACACAATGTCCTCCATCGGGCAATTCAAGCGGGCCACTAAGGACATAAAAGTGTTATGAAGTGCTATTAGACTGGACTTGCAGAAGATTCCTCACCTTCAAAGAGAGCCCAGAATAAGTGATATTGATCAATGTAACCGGAGGTAAATCCTGGGAACAAATGATCCCAATGAATAAAAAGTCATTGTCTAGTATCTCTAAAGGCACTGATGTGGGCAACAAAACTTTCAAGACCTTCACTGGACATAAACAATTGAAATATGATTGATCATAGAAGTGAGAAATAGTGATTAGATGACTTGGTGAAAAGGATTTATCCCCTTCCCTGGCTGACAGTGTCTTAGGGAAGAAGAACCTATCTGAGGACGTAGGTAGAATGATAAAGCATCCTGTGCACAATCAGCAGAAACTACTCACCAGCAATGTCTGTAGGTCAGCAGGAACAAAAAATAAACCTTAAGGGAAAAGTGATACACAGCACTTAAGGCTAAGGCCACAAATGGATGTTGAAAAAGGGCATGTAATGTAACCATAATATACAATTTAGGTAATTGGAATTGTCGTTTGAAACAATCATAGAATTTTCGAGTATCAAACGGTAGTCGATAAGGCCACCTTATGCAAAGCAACTGGGGAGGATGCAAAACCCTAGCCAAAGAACCAGGTCAAAAAACGAGTTATGGTTGGCACTTCTAATGGAAGTGAGTTCAACCTCCTCTCAATACACTATTGCCAATATGTGTGCCATTTCAGTCAATAAATATCCATCGCATGATTAAGCAAATACTGAGATAGATAGATGGTAACCTTAGGAATTAAACTCCGATGCCATACAAAGGACTGCATAACCTCCATGCCTGAAGCTTGATCTTCAGGATAGCCAGGTGTATGATATCAGATCATGGCTGCCTCCATGGGAAATGGGAAGAAATGGGCACTTCTTAAGGTACCACATAAGCATAAAGGATTTATCTGCCAATCCAGTCCTATCAACAAGACCTTACAATGGGATGAATCATAGCTAGTACCTTGGGTAACATACAAATTGCAGGGAAAGCCTAGAGTTGTAATCCCATCCTGTCATGATTGAATGCATCTATTGCCAAAAGCAGAGGGTGAGGAGTTGAAGACCAAATTGCCAGTAGTTGGGTGTTCCAATGAGTGGCCAATCCACCAATCATAAGTGTTTCAAAATGAGAGCAAATCCAATAGAAAACCTCATGATGCTGTATCTATTCTGTTGGGATAATCTGTTTGGGTCGATACAATTGACCTGCTACCACAGTCATCATCTGTGCAACATGGCAAGCTTGGAGGGTGATATGATAGGAGTGATCCCGAGAAAGGAGATCCAAGGTTCAAAAACAAAAAGGCCTGGACTAAGAGCCTCCTTGATGGGAAATGCAAGACTCCACCTTGGAATTGTCGGAATGTAGCCTGACGATTTTTCCCTTAATAACTCCAGACTATGAGACATCGCCTTTTGTCTAGCAAGAAAGTCTAAAACATTGTGCATAGACCCTGGAATTCATGACAGTTGAGATATGCAACATCCCCCAAAGCAAGGCATTCAAGAAGAAATAGATCTCTGGATGAGGTGGCGGCAGAGAAACCCATACCTTAGTATTGTTCTGAGCTAACTACCCTAAAATAATATATGAGAGAGGTCTTGAAGAAGGAAACTGGGGAATTCAGTGTATCACTGTTCATGATCCAGTGGTCGCATAAAGACCACTGAAGGGATTCCTTGTGCACTTGTCCAAAAGTCATGAGGTATTCAAGGTATGCCCACATTTCCAAAAGAGAAAGAACCATCCATGCAGTGGGAGAAGGAGAGGTGAGTAAGAGTCGGTTTTTCTGTTCAACAGCTTGGAGCTGGATGGGAGTTGGCTAAGCCTGACTGAGATACATGAAGAAAAAATTACCTAGACTGACAACATATTGTTTTGAAGTGAGAACAGATGTCTCAGCTTTGATGATGAAGCCTGCCTTGGTTGTTTCTGAAATTAGAATCCGGGTGGGACATTCTGACAATTGACAAGATGGTGCCAGCAGTAACTAGTCATCCAAGGAATGGTGTGGATGACTAGACAGGCCTATGGAAAAGAGATGATGAGAAACAACATGTAAGATTCGACAGAACCTATATAGTGCCAATGCTAGTCTGAAGATAAGAACCATGAACTGCAGTATCTAACCCTTGTGCATAAAACACAGATAGTGGCGAGACACTACCACTATGACAATGTGCAGATAGGAGCCGATGAATTCGAACTTGGACATCCACAATCCAAGTAAAAAATTGCCAACTCAGAGTGAGGAATGATTCACTTTTGAAGTTTGGAGAATCTAGGAATTGATATAGATGAGAAAGGTCGATGACTAGACGCCTGTCTTCTTGGGTCCAACAAACCAACAGGAATAAAACCCCAGAAGAACTGGCATGACTCTCTCTCTCTAACAAACTCTGATAGCCCTAGAACGAAGTTCCAAAATCCGAGGATCTGTGGGAGATGAAAACACTACATGTTGGGTGTGTCATGGTGGTGAAGATGTGGACTGAATTACTACTCCTGACTCAAGGACCTGTAGTGCCCATGGATCCGTGTTTTATCATACATCTAGAAATTCTTGGATCCAAACCCCCCACACACCACAATGGCACACAATAGTCACCAACACCACTGGTGATGTTTTGACCAAGCAATGAAACCCTCAGATATGGACAGAATCTATTCTGGGTACCAATGGATTGAGGAGCTGATTTCCGGGGTCAGAACCTTCGAATAGGGGCAGAACTATTATCCCCTGTAGGATCCGAGAAAAGTTCAGATGCCAAGAACAACAGGAATAAATGTAGAAGCCGACAATTGAACCAATGTGCATGCTAACAATGTTCCCAGCTCATCATCAATGGACTTGGTGATTGTGAGAGTCTTCCAATAAAGTTTGGAGGGATAATAATAACTTTGATCTGATTTTAAATTTTAATTGTTCTTCTGTATGCACCATGTGATATTGCCTGGAATGGTCTTTAATGCCAATCTGCTACTGGCATGTACCAATGTGAGAAGGCAGAAAGAAGGATCTGGGAAGAAATTCTACCAAGTTTCATTCAAAGTTTCCACTGCTATTGAAGTTAAACCTAGAAAGAGAAGTCCAACCCATCCCAGTCTGAGACATCACTACTGAACCAGTACTAAACACTGGATTCAATGGTGGCAAATTACCTCCAGATGGGATGCCAGTCCACTGTAGGTTAACCCCAGCTACCCGTTATACAGATACATAGACTTAAAGAACTTGAGTAAAGTGTCTTCCTCCTGTACACAACAGAACATTGCAATAAAAGTGTCAAACTTAAAAACTACCCAGATATATGTAATTAGTGGTATCCACTAATCAATCAGGCAACTGCTCCATTAATTCATCACATTCAATTAATCAACTATGACAACATTCCTCAAACCATGGTACTTACACACAATTAAAAAACAAGTTAGAGACAGGTGCTACAAGAGAGTTGCATTCTTGCTAAGTCAGCATTTTAAAACTGGAAGTTAAGAACATAAAGAAATACTTGGATTAACTGATAATCCAAATGTGGATTAATTGATTATCCTCATGACAAGCAATGTAATCTTAATTTTGAATAACCAACTGAATAATACACATAGAATTTTCATTAACTGTTTGTTATAATGAACAAAGGCATTAATAATCTCAAACACAGCTTATAGAAAGATAATG